AGTCTTATGCATTGTGGCATAAACGACTTGGTCACATTTCTAAGGAAAGAGTGGAAATGCTGATAAAGACAAACATCCTGCCTACTCTTGAAGTGACCTAGATACTTGCGTAGACTGTTGTAGGGGTAAGATGACTAAGATAAAGAAGAAAATCGCAGTCCGTAGTTCTGACATGTTGGAAGTCATTCACACTGACATCAGTGAACCCTATACGGCAACATTGTGTAGAAATTTCTATTTCATCACATTTACATACGACTATTCCCGATATGGTTATCTGTTATTGATTAAGGAGAAGTCTGAGTCTCTTGACAAGTTCAAGATTTTTCGGACTAAATTCGAGAAACAGCTGGGAAAAGTCATAAAAGTTGTCAGGTCTGACCGAGGTGGTGAGTATTATGGCAGGCATGGCGATGCTGGACAGCTGAAAGGGCCATTTGCCAAATACTTAGAAGATTTTGGAATAGTGGCTCAATTTACTATGCCCGGGAGTCCTGAACAAAACGGTGTGGCCGAAAGACGGAATCGCACCCTTATGGATATGATGAGGAGTATGATTAGCAGGACGAACTTACCTGATTTTCTATGGGGTGAAGCCTTGAGAACAGCTCTCTACATTCTAAATCGTGTTCATACCAAGGTTGTTCCAAAGACTCCTTTTGAATTATGGACTGGACGTAAACCTAGCCTAAATCATCTTAAAGTTTGGGGGTGTTCTGCAGAAGTAAGGTTATATAATCCAACATTGAGCAAGTTGAAATCTAGAACCACTCGATGTTACTTCGTATCTTACCCAGATTATTCGAAGGGGTATCGATTTTACAGTCCTCATGGAGGCACAAGAATTGTCGAATCACAAACAGCGAAATTTCTGGAATTTGATGTAGCCGAGATGGGTAGTTGCTCACAGACCATTGAGGATAATAATATGGTAGGTACTACAGTGTCGATTTCTCTACCTATACAGACGATAATGGAGACCCCTATACCACAGACTGAGCCTGTTGTGGTCTAGGATCCTGTTATTGAAACAGCTCTTGATGAAGTACTTCAAACCCCTCAGATGCAGGATGAGAAAGTAGTAGCTCCACTTAGGAGATCTATCAGGCAGAGACAATCGGCTATACCACCGGATTATATGGTCTATCTGGGAGAGCATGACTACGATATAGACTGCGTGATTGATCCAGTAACTCATTCAGATGCAATTTCTTGTCCTCAATCAGATATGTGGGTGGATGCAATGAAAGACGAGATTCAGTCTATGAGATATAATGGTGTTTGGGAGCTTGTTGAATTACCTAAAAGTTACAAGCCCATTGGTTGCAAATGGGTATACAAGACTAAAAGAGACTCCAAAGGAAAGATTGAGAAATTCAAAGCCAGACTGGTAGCCAAGGGTTTCACTCAAAGAGAAGGAGTAGACTATGAGGCGACTTTTTCACCAGTATCTTCTAAGAATTCTTTCAGAGTGATCATGGCATTGATAGCTCATTTTGATATGGAATTACACCAGATGGATGTTAAGACTGCCTTTTTAAATGGAGACCTTGATGAGGAAGTCTATATGGTGCAATCCGAAGGTTTTGCAGCTGATGATTCAGGTGAGCTTGTGTGTAGATTGAAGAAATCTATTTATGGCCTTAAGCAAGCTTCTAGACAATGGTATTTGAAGTTTCATAGTGTTGTCACTTCATTAGGTTTTGTTGAGAACAAGTTGGATCAGTGTATATACAGCAAGGTTAGTGGGAGGAAATTTATTTTTTTCATACTCTATGTAGATGACATCTTGCTTGTGAGTAGTGATATTGGATTACTACATGAGACAAAGCGAATGTTGTCGAAGGATTTTGACATGAAGGACCTTGATAATGTGTTTTTTGTCCTAGGCATTGAGATCTATCGGGATCGTTCTCGCCGAGTATTGGGTTTGTCTCAGAGAACATATGTTAATCGTATTCTGGAAAGATTCAGTATGCAGGACTGCAAGCCAGTAATTGCTCCTGTCATAAAGGGTGATAAACTGAGTCTGTCACAGTGTTCTCATACGGATATTGAGAAAACCCAAATGAAGGATGTACCTTATGCTAGTGCACTTGGAAGTATCATGTATGCTCAAGTTTGCACTAGGCCAGACATTGCTTTTGCAACAGGACTTCTAGGCAGATATCAGTCAAATCCAGGACACGATCACTAGGTTGCTGCCAAGAAGGTTTTGAGGTACTTAAAGAGGACAAAAGACTATATGTTGATCTACAGACATGTTCAAGACCTACAGCTGGTAGGGTATTCGAATTCAAACTTTGCTGGCTGTCAGGATGAAAGGAAGTCGACAACGGGTTATATCTTTAAGTTAGCAGGAGGTGCAGTATCATGGAAAAGTGAGAAACAGAAATCAATGACATCCTCTACCATGCAAGCGGAGTTTGTAGCATGCTTTTCGGATCTTACTCAGGCAATTTGGCTTCGGAACCTCATTAGGGAGTTGACTGTATTTGATTTTGTGGATCGGCCCATACAGTTGTATTGTGACAATAACTCTGCAGTGTTGTTTGTTAATAACAACAGAGGTCTCAAGGGGTCTAAGCATATGGAGGTCAAGTACTTGACCATAAAGGAAAAAGTCAGGGATGGTGACATTACAGTAGAGCACATTTCCACAGATGATATGGTAGCAGATCCACTAACTAAAGGCCTTCGCCCTTGTATTTTTGAACGACATGTCGTTAGCATGGGCTTAGGAGTATCATGGGATACTGTTGCTTAGTGCGAGCTGTTTTTTTTTTTTTTTAATTTATGCTCTAATAAAGTTTACATCTGTGTTCTGTTACTCTTTGTAATATTTTGGATGTGTATCAACTCATTTACATTCAATAAGGTATTTCTGAATGCATTGTTGTCATGTTAAATACACATGTAAGGTGAAAATCTTAAGGTACTGTGTAAACCTTGAGTAAAGGCTATGGGCATTCAGTTATTGGCCTTAAGGATATGTCTTATTACACATAAAGTAATGTTAACAATAATGATAAGACATATGTAGGTTCATTGGAACCATAAAGATATTCTCTAGTGACACATCAGGTTTTTGTGACACTTAAGGAAAGAGAATGAGGACTGACAAAGAGATGACACATGAGGTATTACTCTTTATGAGGTGTCATCCGTTTGCCACACAACCATATCGAATCCATATCAGTAAAGTCTAAGACACTTGTGACCATGGAAGGCTCTGCGTGATTACATGCAGTTACCGTTCATGATTCGGTGTTTGAAACTTTATGGGATTGGATTGACTATTAAGAATTATCCATAGACTAAATAAAGGTGCACATAAGGTACGATTTCAATTAATATAGCACAAGTGAGAGAATGTAACATTTTCCTAATGTAGGTTACATTAATTGAGATTGTTATTACCCGCTTACGGGTTTGGACTAATAAGTTTGGATATAAAGTTTCTTAATTGGACAGATATGTGCTCGGTTTATGTGGGCCGAGTTCGGCCCGGCCCGTTATGAGAGGGCCTGGCTGGAAACTCTATAAATAGAGCTACAGGTCCCTCCTCTGCACCTAACTCTCTCCAATCTCTCTCAAACGCTCTCAAACTCACCTAAGGCTTCTGTGAGTTGGCTGAGGCGGTCTCATAGCGCCGGGACTTCGGGGGTGACATGGAAGAAGACCTACGGCACCGGTTCATCGTCATTTCCGCATTTAGGCTGATGGAATCCAAGTCAGGTGCACAAATTCTATCCATCCTTTTACCGTACCGTTAATATCTCGCTATGGTGATCCTAGGGCGCTCGGCCGAGCCATACGGGCCGGCTAACAAGTAGTTGTATTTGATATCGAATGCCAAATTAGGAGAAAATTCCTTAACTATTATGGTCTAGAATGCATTCTAAATCTTTCAATTGGTTCAATTAAGTCCCAAACCTTATTCAAAAAGCGCAATCAGCTACTTTCAATTAACAGTACCTAAATTGCATAAGTTTCACACGGTGAGTGCTTATATGACATTCTTAAATGATGCTTTTTAGCGTAATTTTAGGGGACTCAATTGTATTCCGCATAAGGCTTAGGACTCGTGGTGCCATTTTCCCGCCAAGTTTTTGAGACGATTTCTTGAGCCCTCGAGGTTTTTGGCACGGTTGGGTTGCCAGAACAAATCACACGAAAATGCAGTTTTTACACATGCTTTAGTCGGGTCATTAATAGGGCATGAAGCGTTGGGGAATTGCAGGCAATCTGTTCAAGAAACCCAGACGCTCCAAATGCTAAAGAAACGAGAAAAACTCTCGAGACACTCCACGAGATCCATATGGAAGAATCGTCACAAACCAAAGGGCAAAGACAAAGGTACTCGAACAGATATTATTCTATTTCCAGGGATGTGATCACTTTCTGAAAGTGACATGCAGGTGGCTTCTGAGAAACCCACATGGAAATGAGAAATCTAGAAACACTGTGGCCCATGCAAATCAGTCCAATCCTGTAATCAATAGTTGTCTTTTCTGTGCGATGGGACTCATTGACTAGTTAGTGTCTACGACTAGGAACATGTCTACATGACCACTTATCTAGAAGATCCCCCCGACAGACCCTTAATCAAATTGAAAATTAAATTCGACTCATTTTTCTCGTCTCTTTCTTTCCTTCTTTCTTTCTTTTATTATTCCTCTTTATTCCCCTCCGGCCATAAAAATGGAAAAAAACAAATATTTATCTCCTCATCTAGAAGCCCTCTTCATCAAGATCAACCAACTCCTAACCACTCTCTCTCTCTCTCTCTCTCTCTCTCTCTCTCCATATCAACACGCTCCTGGTCACATGCAAGGAAGTGCTTATTTATGTCCAAATGGGAGCGTAATTGGAATGTGTCAAATAGAAACTTCCTTGTTAAAACAAGAGATAAGAAAGATCGCCACCCCTCAACGTCCCTCTCCATCTTCTTTGGTAACATTTGCTTCTTCTTCTTCTTCTATCTGATCTTGTTCGTGATGGTTGTTTCGCGTGATGAGTCCGGACAAGAGCCAGACCAAGAAGGCATCGTGGGTCATCTGCAAGACCCAAATCAAGAAGCAGAAGGAAATGAAGAAGACGAAGCAGATACACTCTCTCTCTGTGACCTGCCACTCTACAGCGATTCAGCTGAGTGGGACAAGGACAGCTTCTCCAAAGTCGTAGCAGAACCAGAACAAGCCCGAGGCGCACCGACTGATCCTCATCAAGATCAAGAAGATTTGTTTGAGTTCTCCTCCAGTGAGGACTTGAGCAGTTCCTCCAGGCATCATTCGGAGCACATAATCTTCTGTGGCAAGCTCATCCCTTATGGAGAGCTCCCGCCCGTCGGGAAAAACTCAGATGATCTTATCAGAAAGCGTTCCGCAAAGTCGAAGAAAAGGTGGTTCTTTCGCTGGAAGCTGCGCCTATTTAGGAAGTCCAGAACTTCGCATTCGTACCACAAGTTGAGAGCGGACAAGAAGAAGCGGTCGAAGCCGCGGGAAGTGACCGACTCCAAGAACCTGCCGCTGGAGAAGTTCGGGAGCATAGATGGGTCGGCGAGAAAGGTGGGAGCAAAGGGCAAGTGGTACTTCCTTGTGATCGGGTCAGCCAGGTTCCCGATGGAGATGGAGTTGAGCGACATGAGGATGAGGCAGAGCCGCCGGCGGAACCCGGCCTCGATGTTCCAGTCGACGGATAACGCCGAGAAGAAGTACCCCAGGAATTGGGGGCTGTTGCGGCTTTTGAGGACCTTGAGTTGCCGTAGTAGCAACAAAGGTGATCACCCAACAAGTTCTGTGGTAAAGGCTTCATCGAATGAATTGCATTCCAACTCAAAGGGCTAGGAATTCACTTCTGTTTTCCAGTGATCTAGATTAAGAAGTCAGGACAGATTCTAATTCTCTGATGCTTTTTGCTCGTCATGTAAATAACGAGAGTCCTCTATAGCAATAAGCGTTCTAGGATGAAATGAGTGATAATTTTGAAAGTTATAGATCCTGACTTTGTGTGCTTCAACCATGACTTGAATTAGTTCAGAAAGAAGTTTCACGAGTCTGGATCAGAACCTTCCTCCGTTTTAATTGGGTAATGTTAGTGGCGGGAAATCGAGATGCAAAAAGGCGATTACCATATTAATCTCTTAGTTGATATTTAAATCAAGGCGTCATTTTTAAGCACCCAGAAAATCTTCCCACGTTTTCCGTGACTCAAATTCAAAGCATTTGCGGCAATAATTCTCGTCCAAAAGGCAAAAAGATCGCAATTGTCTTGAACAGGCAAGGAAAACAGCCAAAGTCAAAGAATAGATTCACTATTTTCTCCGTGATGGTTGTCCACAGCAGAAAAATGTCCATTAGGATCCCTTCTAGTTGGTGTTTGTTTAACCAAGAGGGGCCCAGACGCTTCCTCTCCACCGCAAAGCCTTTCCTCGTTCAGACCTCGCCTTCCGTTTACATGGTCATTAGACGAAACGCGTTTGATTTATGTATTCTCGCTCCGAGACTTACGAGGCTCCAAAACCTCAGCTTCAAAAAGGTCAAATTAAGGAATGGCAAGACTGAGGTTTGACATTGTAGTTCCTGGACCACTTGCTTTGTGTGATAAAGCTTGATAAGATCCAATTTTCAAAGGGCTGAAACTCCCATGAGGTTGAGTAATCTTTTAGCTCTAGGACCCACCAAAAATAGCTGTTTGAAATCACAAGACTCATGCAGAAAAGCATGTTGAAAGGGACATGGCAATTAAATTAGGACACCCACCCGGCTGCAAAACACGTGGTTGTACATCACTGGTGGTGCCGTGAATGCATCGTCAACGTATGAAAAAGTCAAAGGAAAAAGTATGATGATTTGAAGGCACTTGATGATGCAGATTTTGCGCCTTAACTACATGAATCACCCAGACAAGCATGTTTCCCATCTTTTCCGCAGGAAATGAAGACATGGTCAAAGCTGATGGATTTTCTTGATCTTTTCCATTATTATAAATTAGATTTTAGAGGGGGCCAAAGTTTTTTTAATTAATTGGGTGGAGAGGAAATCTCTCCATAAGAGACGCAACGTGTATTAGAATTTAGGAAATCTCTCGTAAACGACCATGACACAAGTTGGTCAGGATTTGCACTACGAAATGGTTTGAGATTGTGACTTCAAGAAAGATAACGTGACTCATTTATCACTTGGATACCATTCTCGATGATGCTTGACAAATGTTATTGTTAGAGCAACTTTTTCTTCTATCAGTGATAAAATTGCCTGCATTGCAATAAAATAATTCATTTCATGAGATTTTTCATTAAAAAAGAGTTTTGTGTTGGCTGAGATGTCAATTAGCTGATTGTTGTAATATTTTATTTTAGGAATAGATTAGCACCATATTAGAAGGAATCGTTTTGTTATTTGTGAATATCCTGTTACCATATTAGTAGGAGGAAGTTTAGACCAAACTTGTATATGTATCTCTATTAAGTCATTGCAATGAGAAGAAGAATGTATTCTTTTCCTCAGAAATTTCTTTTCCTCATGGTATCAGAGCCCTAGGGTTTGATCCTTGGGGTACTGTACGTCAATCATCGACTACGGCGCCGTTTTTCGTCGCGGTGCCGTCGTCTCACGCCGTTCGACTTCGTCCCGTCCGATCTTCTTCATCTTCATCTTTCTAGGACCTACTGTACGCCATGGAGGGACAGGAAATAGCAACAACACAATCCAGTGAAGGATTGACGGCCACAACGATCCTTGAGAGTCTTACGGCTGCGATGAAGCAGCTTGCAACACAACAGAATCCACCATCATCGACAGAAAATTTTGCCCCTACAATCGCCATTAAGTTCAACGGCATGAACTATGGCTTGTGGTCCCAAGTTGTCGAGATGTACGTCTCCGGCAAAGACAAATTGGCATACTTGACTGGTGACATTCCACAACTGGCCCAGACTGACCCTGCTCTTCAGAAGTGGAAAATTGAAGATGCCACCGTGAAAGGTTGGCTCATAAACTCAATGGAACCCGCGTTGATCGGAAATTTTATAAGATTCCCAACGGCAAAAGCAATATGGGAGTCGGTGGCAACAACCTATTTTGATGGGACTGATACGTCCCAAGTATATGATCTGAAGCGGCAAGTGTCGCGATTGAAGCAGAATGGAGGACCACTCGAAACCTTCTATAACAATCTTCAGGCTCTCTGGAGAGAAATCAATTTTCGCAGACCAAACTCCATAACGTGTGTTGACACCTATTTTTAATTTGCCCAAAATTAATTACACAAAATTTAGGAATTAATTTTCTTTAATTCCTAAAACAAAAAAAATTTCTATTTAAATGCATTGCATATAGACATTAGGCATATTTGCATTAATAGGGTCTATTAGAGCATATTTTCTTAATTAATTTTCAAAAAATTTTAAAAAAAGTTATTAAAAAAAAAAAAAAATCGGATCGGGCCGGGCCAAGGCCGGCCCAGCCCTCTTTTTCTTTTTTCTCCTCCTCCCCGCGCCGACTGGGCCTGGCCCGGCCCAGCCCCTTCCTTTCTTCTTCCCCCTCGCCAAGCCGTTGCTCTCCTTTCCCCTGTTTTCCTCTGCCGCTGACGCAGAGGCGACGAGCGGCTGAGCGCGGCCGCCCCGTCCCCATCCGGCTAGAGCAGGAGTAGGGCAGCACGCCACCGGGACTGGCATTGAAGGCCAGTCTCGTCTTCCCCATTTCCCGGGCTCTCTCTCTCCCTCTCTGCTGTCTCTCTGCACACTCCACAGAATCGGCCCTCCCTCTGCACCGGCCTAATGGCCGCGAAAGTCATGGTAGGAGCAGAGGCCGGTGCAGAGCATTGAATGGAGCAGAGAATGGCGTCGTCGTCGTCGGATATACAGACCAGAGAGAGGAGAGAGAGGGGCGGTTTTTCTCGGTCGGTTTGAGCAGAGAGAGAACAGGGAAGCCGTGAGAGAGACCCAGAGAAATTGAGCGAATTCGAGAGAAGACAGAGTGAACAGGGAGCCTCAGTCAGCCTCGCCGCTGCGCGTAACCTCCGGCCGCCGAGCCAGGGGCCATTTTTGGAGAGAAACGGAGAGAGAGTCCAAGAGAGTCCGAGAGAGACCCAGAGAGAATTAGAGTGAAACAGAGAAGAGAGAGGGGCCTGGGAGCGTCTCGCAGGTCCCAGCCGGTCTCGCCGTCTCCAGCAAGCCGACCGGCAACCCCCGGAAACACCCCCGGTCGGCGATTTAAAAAAAAAAAAACAGAGAAAGACAGAACCGAGAGAGGAGAGAGAGTATAGAGAGGGAGAGAAAGCAAACCGAGGCCACGCCGGAGCAAGAAAGACAACCAGCAGCGTCGCCGTCGCCCACGGAGTAGCCGGAAAGCCGCCCTGACGCACCGTCGACCGGTGAGTCTCTCCCGGCCGAGAACCGCCTCTGTTTTCCCCTGTTTTCCGGCGTGGTTGGGCCGGGACTCGCGCCGGCCGTTTCGTGCGAATCCCGGCCCATACCGATGTCGTTCCCGGTCCCCACTCGCCGTCGGAAGTGAGCCACAGTCGCCGGAGCCGATCGAGTCGCCGGAGGAGGTCAAAATGTCTCTATTATTGTCATGCCCGCCAACCGTTTGTCAAAATGTCTCACAAAGCCCGGTTTGTGTTTGAGCTTCGTCGGAGAGTAGGGGGCCGAACGGTGACTCAACCGACTCAGGTAAGTGTTGAGGAGATCATCAGGGACCAGAGGGAGCCCGAATCGTGGTCTGGGTACGTCGGCCAAGTTCCGATCGGCGTCCGGTTTGACGAATTCCGATCGGGGCTTGGCCGGCGATTATTCAGGCCGGTTCTCCGGCGACCGGGCATCAAACACTCCTTAGCTCGATGAGCTGAGGAGAATGATGCCATTGGCCGGACGAAACATCCGGCGGGCGACCGGGCATCAAACACTCCTCAGCTCGATGAGCTGAGGAGAATGATGCCACTGGCCGGACGAAACATCCGGCGAATCGCCGGATTTTCGTCCGGTCAGTGGCCTCCGGCGTTTGAGGCTTGGACACCGGCTGAACCGGTCCGGTTCTGTTCAAAAACCGGTTCAAGGCCGGTTCATCGATTCGGGTCAATCAGACCCGACCCGGATCCAATTATCCGACCCGAATTAATTAATTCGGGTCGGTTTCGTGGATCCGGGTCGGTTCCGATCGGACCCGAATCCGATCACCTGACCCGGATCCGGAGATCCGACCCGGTCAACGTTTTGGATCGGATCCGTTGACTCGGGTCGGACCCGACCCGACCCGGATCCTCCGACCCGACCCGGTTACAATATTATATTGTTTTCTTTATTTATTTTTATTTTTATTTTTTTGAAAAAATTAAAATTAAAAAAAATTTTAATTTTTTTTAATTTTTTTTTTTCTGTGTTATTATTATTATTATTATTATTATTATTTTTTATTTTTTTTTGAAAAAAAAATTTCAATTTTTTTTTAAAAAAAGAAAAGATCTTTTTTTAAAAATTATTGTGTGATATATTCTAAATGTTTAATTTATTGTAGTATTATTATGCATATTTTTGTCTTGTTTAAATTAGACAAGCTTGAGATTGCGCGGTAATATTTTGCATGCTATTTTTATTATCGTTGTATTATTATGCATGTTTTTAATACAATCGCATGAGTTGTTTTTTGAATGTCATCTGACTTAGTTAAGGTTAGAACCTTAGACTGCATGAATTCTTGTGTTCCTGACTGCTAATCGTTTCTGATTATGCACTCGCTTGATCACCTCACATGTTAGGAGAAAGGTCCTAAAATCAATCCAAATTGCCTGATAAATGTTTTCATGAAATGAACAGGGTAAAATGGTACCGAAAGGGCATTAGTTATCT